TCACTCTTTTCTGAGGATGATACTTTTGTCAGCAAGTAAAAAAGGAGACCCGTAACTTTAAAGTAACCACAACAAGAATCATCGGAAGTACCACAGTGGAACTCTAAGAAAAGCTGCATTATTTTGAAGATACGTCTGGACTAATCTACCAGCTAGAAATATTTCAGTTCTTTTTTTCTTTTCCTTCCTGAGGAAGCAATTAAAAACAAGCAGCTGGGCAATATTCCCACAGCAGACAAATTTGGAGTTACTCATGCAGCAGTTTTTCTGAATTGACTACAATGTCACACAAATTCCACCATTCACGCCACAAGAAGGAAAAATACATATAAATGGAGAGTAGCACTGGTTTTGTTGGGTTTCTTTTTGCCACACAGGCAGAAACAAACTTTTATACCACAGTGAAGTAAATAGATAGATAAAACTATTAAGAAATGCAATAGTCACATACATTACTGTTAGAATTGAAATACACTAATATGATGAAGATATAAAAAGAGAGATCTGTCTCCTGCAGGTAAGGTAAGGCTCTCTCTGAACTACTTTTCAAAGCATTTGGTTTAAACTGAGTTCTGATATATCAGGCGTAGAGCAATCAGTAAATTATATGCTGTTTTAGAGAGAGAGAAGATGAGAGAGAGGAATAACTCTCCGCACTTGAAAATAAATGAAAACATTCTAGCAAGAACACCTGTAGGTTTTAATTTAAATATATGCTTTAAATGCACAGTTACTTTATTTTCTTTGTCCGAAAGATACATTCTCAGAACTCTTAGCAAGCAGGTACGCTAGATGCTTTAACATAGCAGCTAATACAAGTTATGGGTAAAATAATGGTTCTTCTGAAGCTGTGGAATTTACACTCAGTTCAGCTTGCACTAGGATTTCATTTCCAAGCCTTTGTAAAAATGGGTGAGTGAGAAGAGAGCCCACCTGACAGACAGCTGAAACTTTTAACCTTCACGAACCACACAAATCCCTGCTATCAGCTGTAAGAGAAATGTAAAAATACCCTAGATTATCCAAAATATCACAACTGTCATCAAAGCATTAGCACCTCAAGATTTAGTCCCAAGCAGATGCCTTCACATTCTAAATGACTGACTTGAACAGAAGTAATTTCATAAGGATACAAATGGCTTTGAACATTATCTCTAGCCTTTGAGTCCAAAATTATGCCACTTAAAACTGGCATAAATTTTGGCTGCTGATGAAAGGAGCAGTTCTACAGATCTGTCATTCCCAACTTCTCCTTCCTAGCACTTCCCCTGGGCCAGCATCAGAGACATAAGTTGGATGCAAGTTTCTGTCACAGTTCACCCGTGAATCTCAGAGCTGATGAGCTTCCAAAGCTCCCACAGACTTCAACGGGCAGAGTGGCTGCTGAAAGCTTTGAAAAGGATCTTGGTACCCAGAGTCTCTATTTGCAACAGAAGAATGGTTCCCCCTCTCCATATAGGTTGGATAAAGATAAAATCATTAACATTTGGATAAGGGTGAGTTCAGTCTCCAAACAGCTGTGCTGTTGGAGATGCTGTCAAAGACTGATGAAACCCATGGGATTGTCTGAAGTAAACTTGAAAGAAAATCATCCAGCTAGCTTTGGTAGTTAAACTACCAGTTAAATACTGACAGTTAAACTGGTGAAACTATAAACTGGTTTGTTGCCAACACTTTTCATCTTAGTACCTAGATAATACTCAAATATCTTTCACTACGGTGGAGATGGTAGCCTTCTGTTAGAGGAAGCTGATGTCTTCCATCAGCCTACTAAACTGCTGTGAAGACTACTAATTTGTTTTGCCTGGTTCACCTTTTCATTCACATGCTCACTTCAACTTCTGCACCTCCTCACCATCAACCGAACACTTCACGTTCTTACTTTTGCATCAGGTGTTGGCACCAGCAGTGATCGATCCATCCAGTTCTATTTACGTTACTCTAAGTACCAGATGCTTTTGTGCTGTATCAGAAAAAAAAAGTTCTGTGAGCGCTGTAATCTATGATATAACACTGCTCTTTGACAGAGAAGCTGATGGTGCTTAGTTTCAAACACCACTGCATAGAAGCCTCTTTCCTTTTCTAGGGTTGCCATAACAACAAGCAGAGCGCTGTCATTTTGCTAAGTAATGACAATGACAAATATGTAAGAAATGCAAAGGTCTGGGGAACTGGGAGAAAGATTAGAGCTTCTCTTCCTGCCTTTACAAAACATTTTACTGTGGATTCATCTTGCAAATCCTAAGCTGTTCCTATGGGAACATGAGAAATAGCTAGTGTTAGTGCTCTGTGCTGCCTCATTTTTCAGAAAGCTGGGGTTCTTCTTGTGGATGCTTTGTCAAGACATAGCACAGTGTTAGTAATCAAGGGTATAGGATATGATCTTGAGCTCACAAATGCCTGCAAAAATCTGGAATGAATCCTAATTTTACAGTGTAATAAAGTGATAATGCTGTCAGACCTTATTCTCTTTAGTAGGTAGGAAGGGGTTGCAGCAAAGATGCCATTTTATTGAATTAATAAAATCACAGACAGATGACTCAAGAAGTCAGAAAACTATTAACTCAATAATTCTGTTAACCATGAGAATGGAAAAGTATTTTCTTCTTAATTAAATCAAGAATAAGACTTAGGACACCAACCCGAAACATGAAGACTGACATTCTTACCACTTCATCATGAAAATTACTTTGCAGGTGATTTTTGTTTGGGATCACTCAACCTCTGATTTAACATAAGAATTAATGTTATGCAATTTTTCCATGTTTAGGGGAAAGGCAGTCTTTTAGTGTACACAGCCAAAATATCACTTTCCTTTTTATGCTCTTTCAAAATGTAACTATTCCCTTTTCTTGCCTACTACTTAGAACAGATACATTTTCTCTCTGTTTGTTGCATCTATTAATCAAAATAAAATGACTGAAACTACAAATTTTACCCTAAATATATGGAAAACAAGAGTCACCCCTTGTGCTTCTAACTTTCTTCTAAAACCCTGACATGCACAGTGGCTGCTCCATGACTCCAGTCTCCAGACACGATGGTCATGACTCTGTTCCCAGTTAAACAGTTCCCAGTCATGCACTTCCTTGACATAAGTATGAAACCCCTCTCCAGTCACCCTGCCTGCACTCCTCCCTCCTTTCAGGCTTAGTACAGCTTCTACAGTGCTCCTGGATTCTGTTAGCCCAAGAAAAAATTGACTTGTATCCATGTTGAGCTAAGCACCTCTCCTGCAGGATATTCCATTGCCTTGTTTCACTGCTTTCATAAGTTTCCCTGCGGTCTGTATGTCTGTACATACCAATCTTAACAGTTTAGGGTTTTAAGGGACCTTCTACATCTGCCTTGGGGTTTTTATGCCAATACAGAGGACAAAAAGTTACAAATCAGAACTTCACCTAATGATATAATCCACGAACTGAAGGAATAATATTTGTTAACAATCATTATTATCGATCTATTGTGACAACTACACAGTATCTATGCTTTTCTTTACAGATAGCTGAGATGTTTAATGACAAATGAGGTTAAAAAAACCTCATACTTAGTCCCTTAAACAAGTATTTGTGTATGACACACCACCCATTTTAAAGCAGAACTCTCCCTGGATTGCAATGGGGAGACATACTTGAATATTAAGAGAGAAAAACCTATTGCTATGAAATTTAATGACAGCCTAACACCCACCTGTGTCTTAAGCTACCTAAAACAGCATTCAAAAATGTACCCCAAGCGCTTAATGGAATCAAACAAGGTTTATGAAAGGAATGTAGTTGTAGCAATTAATCTGTCCCTATGAAATACTTATTTTCACCTATTAGAAAAAATAAAAGTTGCATAACAAACATACAGCCGCATGACAAGACAAGACACAAAGACAGGAAAGAGAAAATAAGTAGGCACTGGTGAGATGGACAGAGTAACCCAGTATGTTTGATCACAAGTTTCCTTAAATGCAACAAACACTGCTACTTCTCTAGATGACTAAGTTTCCACTACAGAACTTCTAGCACTCTAACAAATTAGTCAGATTAGATGGCGAGAGATAAGATGTCCCAAGTTCTCCAGAGAAATTCTGGAGGTGGCATCTAGTATATAACAAATTCTTTTTTCATTATTTTAATAATCACATAATAAATCTAGCAGGTAAGTTCTGAGATTTATATAGCCTTAAAACCTCCTGAGTCTCAAAATCCAAGTAATTTCATAGTGATCTTGACATAACAGAAACCCATGAATTTCATATTGTGACAGTTCCACTGGGCTAGCCCTTGGCTAGCAGCCAACACAGATGTTCACCCACTTCCCCCTCACCCCCAGGGGGTAGGGGAGAGGACTGGGTGGCAAGGATAAGGAGGCTCATAGGGTGAGATAAGGACAGTTTAATAATAGAAATAAAAGAAATTTTCAAATAATACTAATATTAAAATAGTAATGATAATTATAACAGTAACAAAATATGCAAGTGAATGACACCCAATGCTATAGCTCACCCCCCTCCTGACCGAGCCCGGCCTGTTCCCAGATAACGATCCTGGAGGAGCGACAATCCCGAACCGAAACCCCCATCCCAGAAGAGCGAGAGCCCAAGTGAAAAGGCAGAGAGAGCAAAACAGGAAAAGACCCTCACTAATATAGTGGGCATGATGTGATATGACATGGAATATCCCATTGGCATATCCAAATGTCAATTAAGTTTATTAACTTAAATTTTCCTCTTGCACTTGTGGACTAACAGAACATGAAGTCCTTCACTTCCAGTGACAAAAATGCAAACACTGGTGTGTTATCAGTGTCTCTCTCATAACAAGTCCCAGGCTGAAAGCAAAACACAGCACTATTCTAACTACTGAAAAAGAAACCCAGCTCTGTTCCAGCTAAAAACCAGGACACATATACACACACAAACCCCGTCAAGACAGGTAGACATAACTCACACAGGATCATACACCTGTAAAGAGTAACCACAGTGGCAGTTTAAAAAAAATTCTTCTTACCTGCTGCTGCTTCAGAAGTGATGCTATCTTTAACTGCACAAGCTGGACTTAGGGGCAAAACATCATCATCAAAACTGATCAGATCTCCTTCCACATCTAGTTTATTTTGCAAAGCAGGTGCCGAGGAGGTGGCTGCAGGTGACAATTCCCCCAGAGACTTGAAAACTTTTTCTTGGGCAGACACAGAAGCCCGTGGGGGAGCAGCAATCGGTTTTAGTGAGGCCAAAGAAAGGGCAGGATTTTCTGAGTAGCGTGATTTTTTAGGAACAAGAGGCCTTGGAGCAGGAACAGGAAATTTCTTTTGTCCATCACTGTTCTCTGCAACTGATCCACTCTTTGCATCAAGAAAATCACTACTACTACTACTTTTAACAAGGCCAGGTTTTGGCTTCTTTGGCAGTTCAGGTTTGGTTACAACACTGCTCCCAACTACTTCAGATTGAGGCTGCAATTCCTTGGAAGGTGTTGATTTGTTTTCTGTCCATGCATCCCAGTCCCCTGAAATTCTGCTTACCCCTGGCTTTGGAGCAACTACTGGCTTCTTTGCAGTACCAGGTCTTGTGGCAAATGAACGAGGGGCAATTTCTGGCTTTTTTGATAATCCTGAGGTATCATTAGTTCCTTGGGATTCAAAAACTTTGATCCTTGAAACAATACTATTTTGGCTCTTTTCTGTACTCATGCTGTCCGTCGCCAATTGATTGTCTAGTAAGCTATCATCTAAGAGAGGTGGCTGCTGAATTGGAGGTTGCTGTCTTTTTGTGGTAGACTGGTTCACTTCTTCTCCATTGTCTGTCTTACTTACAGTATTTTTGACCACAGGTCTGAGATTGCTTCTTGATCTTGGCTTTGGCACAGGACATATCACAGCATTGGGATCTTCTTGGCACCTCTGACCTTCAGAAATTTCAAAGACTATTAAGGGATTCTCATTTTCTGAAGGAGACCTATTCAGGAGAGATGCAGAAGGCCTAGGAGGTTTAAGAGGACTCTGGCCTGTTAACAGAAAGGAAAAGGTTTCAGTTATCTTTTACAGAACACTTTGTTTATGTTATTTTTTTGTCAGCCATGAGAATGGTAAACTTGATGGTTTTTGCTGCTTGTGAAACTGCAGTTCTCCTTCTACAAAGATAAATAAAACAAATACACAAACTCTAGGAAGAAGCTGAAGATTGCTGAAATGCATAGTATCTACATGTTATGAGTTCAAAACTACTTGCTAGCTTGCAGCATGAAGGGTATGAAAGCAACATCCCCACCCAAGAATAGTACAGTAACTTCCCCAGCTTCATCTGCATGCTTTTCAGTCTAAGTGTGTAACACTGATGCTATTCTGATTGGACATCTGAGTTCCTCTGGCCTCAAAGCCATTGCCATTATGGCTGAATCAAGCAGAACTCGATTATAAAACTTTAATTATAGTCTGTTCATGAATGCAATGGTAGTTCTTCAGAAGAGAGGATTTTTACAGGAATTTACAGTAGTAATCATTCACAGAAATTTAACTGTTATTCATATTAAATGCTGCATAGACCAATAATAGAGTACATTTTCAGAAGAAAGAGTAAGGTTTTCATCAATGAGAAATCCAAAACAGCCTCACCTGGATAGCCTGCAGATTCCCAGTGAGTAGGCACACTGGTTTTTACATTACTTCCTGGCAAATGGCTGATTAGTTCTTCTGGAAAGTCAGTTTGTGTTGCAGAAGTAGTGGTATGTCTAGGAGCAGCAGCATTATTGTTATTTGTTGTATTGACTTGCACTTGATTAATTTCTTTTATGACCTGCTCATATGACGGTGGAAGCTACAAAACAGAGAAAAAAAATATTAATGTACACCCAGATATGAGCCTTTAAAAAAAACCCAAACCAAACCTAAATTAACATATGCAGAGGGAAAGAACAGTGTAATAGTCTTTTATTCAATGTGATGAAAGTCTAAGCAAGCTTTTAAAAACTGTTCCTCTCTAACTTAAAGTGCTTTTTACCTTTGTAAATCAAATACATCTCATGTAAATTCATGCTCACCTCAGCTGGAATATGCTCATTTCTCCTCCACTGAGCATGAGATGAAGCAGAAGGGAATCCTAATCCTTGAGGAGGGACAGGGCTTGCACCTGGAAACCAAGAGGATGGCCGGAGGGGTTCAGCAGCAACTATTGTAATTTCAGGACGCCTGGAAATGAAGGCAAAGGGGAATAATTACCTAAAATATTTAAAAATAGTTCTTTTAAGTACAAAAGACCAAGGTTTCCTCAGTAGGGGAAATCAAAATAGCTCAGGTCTTTTTGATTTAACCAAATATGTTTTTCCATTATGTCAAAGTAACTTACCTGACCTTTCCAATAAGCATTTAGGTTTTCATTCAAAGCACCTAATTAAATGCCTAAACCAAAAAGTAGGTTTATTTGCTTCAGTGAAATAATTTACATGCTTAAAGTACTTAACACAAGTGTAACTCAGTTGGAAGGAGTCTTAGTCTTCACGGGATAATGAGAACTAATCGTGTGCTTGCCCTTAGCCTTCTGCAATGTAAAAACAGTAGGATAGTTAAAACTGCTCCTGGCTGGCTACCTAAAAGCTTGCCTATTCCCAGACTTCCAGGAAAACTCACTGTGCTAAAGTGGGGCAGAGGAAGCCTGACGAGGCCTTTGGGACAGGGCCTATTTCCTTACAGTTTCTAGTACAAGAGGGATTTCCATGACAGTGAAGGACTCGTAGGTACCACCCCGGTTTTAGCACTGTAACAACTGCTTTAGAGCGTCAGCGGCAGTGATGGCCCACGTTCCCAGACCATGGCCCCCAGAGTACCACTGATCAATCTAAAGTCTCACACAAAATACACTTTGAGAAGTGAGTATTGTGAGTAGATGAAGCATCTGCTACAGAAGCCTCTGCTGACAGAAAAAACCTTCAGAAGTGTAACTTCTGAAACTACTGTAATAAGATTTTAAAAAGAGGGCTACAGTTCCTTCACACCTGAAATATTGGCAGACTCAGTTCACCACCTATCCAGGTTGGTGACCTGCTTTCTCAATACTTTGAGAAAGTGGAAGGAGGCCTGAAAGTGTGCTTATTTTCATTGTGAAGCGATCCTGTAAATAGATGTCAGGAAAGTAAAGTTTTGCAGAGGTTTGATGGCTGGTTGCTTTCCTTTTTTGAGGACACATACAAAAGTTAATGAGAAAACTCCTCAAACTCTTAACCTACCCTGTGCTTAAGAATGATAGTATTTTTATTTTATTCAAAGTTTAATTTATTTTTAAACACACTAAGGATAGAGAGAAGAAAAAAAAAACAGACGAGAAAGCTGTAAAAAGTAATACTGTGACACAACCTAAAAAGATTTACAGTAACACTTAATTGCAATATAAGTAACAGCACCATACCTTCTATCCCTCTGCTGTTCGCTATGGCTAGAGGTCCGAGAAGCTATTTAAAGAAAAGAAACAAAAGTTTTCAAGTGGTTAAAATACACTGTCACAGCAATAAGATGAGGATAATAGCAGAGCCCGTACCAATCCACTGTCAGTGAAATGGAGAACATATAGTATCTGATAATAAATTCCAGATTTTAAGAGTGGCCAAGTTTTGTTGGGTTTTTTTGTTTTTTTTTTTAAAGTATTAAATATGAGGAGAAGAGGTTTTTAAAAGGTTTAGGGTGCAGTTTCATAATCAGTTTAAGTCACTCTCTGACCAAGTTACCACCAAGAGAGATAGTCCTGTCCCTTTCCTTCTTCCTTGACACTCATTGCTGCATTCTGCATTGTGGTGACCCTAGAGTTGAAACTTCTTTTTCTTTTTCTTTAGTTAAAATAATTCATGAATAAAGCAAAAAGAAGTGTTAAACATGTCTTGCTTTGCTTTTGATGGCCCATTTCTGAGATGTGTTCTTTAATCTTTTTTTAATCTCTTTCTATTTGTTTTAGAGAAAGGAAAAGTAATAAGGCACAAAATCTAAGAAGCTATTTCACTCTCTTTATGTAAAAGAAAAAATTAAATATTCCCAGCTAGAAAGTTCCTAGTTTAATCACTTGTGGATTAAAAGTCAGCAACATTTCTTTCTTTTCCAAACTATGCATTTTAAGTTACATAAAGTAAGTGAATGCTGACCTCTAATTTTTCTAATTTTGCTATATTTATATTCAAATTAGTTTTTCAATGGCCACATTACATTTTCATTTTGATCTCTTTAGAGAGGAAAGGAAATTATCTGAGGGACAAATTTTTGCATAGCAAGTGTAATTTAGGAAGTGGTAGAGTCTTATTGTGTAAAAGCTGACAATTATGCTGTTCCTGTGGCCATCACAGAATCATTAGCTGAAATCTGCAAAGCATACTTGATTCAAGAGTCACATAGTGTTGTGTCAGACATACCTCTTCCACGGGGCATTTTTGATGTGCACTATTCATGAGTGCTAGAGGAAAAAAAGAAGGGGTTACAGAAGAGGAAGAGGAGGTGAAGGAGAACAAACCAAGGCTTCAGAGTGCCAGCAACCATGATCAAATGGGTTAGTCACACAAGGACAGCACATGTGCCAGTGTTGTAAGGGGACAACTATAGTGTCTATTCACAATATAGAGTCTTAAAAAACTAAAATAAAAGCAAATTTTATTTCTAGTCTCATGCTGATTTTAACAATGGCTTTTTAAAAGTTTCCCTTGCAATAAATTAACTGTGAAGAATGTAACTGATATGGAAACGTCCACTGTATTGCTCAACAAAGAGGAATGAGGAGAGGGAAGTAAAATCTCTTTGAATGCTTTGTTTAGTTTAAAATCATGGTTTATTTGGGTCTGTGCATTTTGCTTTCCAAAAATAATGGGTTACACTCAGGAGTTGATACAGATGCAAACAAGTTGGGTTCCCATGATTTATATTCCCACCTACCAAAGAGGTATGGGCAGGCAGGCTGACCCTGATAAGAGGCACATCTCAAAGTTTTGGGCATGACTGCACATCTCCTAAACCAGTTCTGTAAAAATTGTTTGGCTAAAACAAATAACAAAAATCCCCTACACCTCACCTTCACTTTCTTCTTCAGAGAAGATGACATTGATCTAATACACACATTAAAAAACAAAACAAAACAAACAAACCAAGCAATTCCAAGGCTGCTTTTGCAAAGAGGATGGAAGAAAGTGTTCATTCGGTAAATGTATTCAATATAAGTGCTTGGGGTATAGCCGAATTACAATGATAAGGCCATTAGAAATAAAAGCTCATTAATGAGGGATGTAAAACTGAATTGATAAACCTGGAGAATTTTTTCATTCTTTCTTCATTTCTAGATGAATTCCACATGCTGTTTTCTCCTGTGACTCTAAGTGTACTTCTGTTTAATAAAGTTATTAAAACAAATAAGAAAAACCTAAAAAAGGTCTGAAAGACCTTTTTCCTTCTTTCTTAATATAGGCAAAAAAAACTTCAGTGAGGCATCTATGTAACCCATCAAACTTCAAATTTCAAGTAAACAAGTAAATTCACTTGAAAACAACATATTTAAAATATTTATAAAAATAACTTTATTAGTAGATACAAATATCTTCAAAGGGCTAATATCTAAGCCATCATATATGTTTTCAGAACGTGCTCTTTCTGTTTGGAGGAAAAAAAAAATCTCCCAGGCATTTATGGACTCAAGCTACTTCCATGTACATAAACATTTAATATAAACATTTATTTTTTTAAGGACCTCTACAAAGTTCTTCCCTCCTTCAATCAACTGCTCCACTCTTTTTGCTGTCACATTTTTTTTTACAACCACATTTTTAGAACATCTTTTGTTTTGGAAGCTTTAAATCCACAGTAGGAGCAGAGGTGAAATCTACTGCATATTCTGCTCTCACATATTCCTTGGAGTTCCACAAATGCTAGGAAAAAGAAAATATAAATGTTCTAAATAATCCTTGCCTCCAGACTTGCACAGCTTTTATTCCTTTACCATTTCAAAGAAATGAATTTAAATTAAAAAGTATATGAGAGAAAACATGAATTTTTTAAAATATAGCACACACCTGATTTAAAAACAAAAGAAAAAAACCCATAGCTATTTTTCTGGCCTTGTGGTCTTTTGATGCTGTAAGTCTATTCTTCATTTCCTTTGTGGATTGCCTTGAAAAAGCACGCTATTTATTTTTTCCCCCAGATTTTAAATTATGACAGTTTTAAGATTTGAAACACCTTTCTTCCATCAGGGGACTCAATGGAAATCTATTTCAGTGCTGGTTTACATACTGACAACTGAAGACAGTTGGCTCCTCAACTTCCATGCTAAGATTTGCTCAGGGTGAGAACTGTTGACTTTTCCAGGAGCATATACTTAGTGGTATTTAAGTAAAAGGTAAGCAAAGCAGTTAAAGAAGGGGTGGGAGAAGGAAAACTCAGTGCATAAAACCCATACCTTCTCATTTGATAACTTTATTGGTCTCAGGGGAAAGAAAAAAGTCATATCAACCCATAACATCACTATTGGTTTCTGTTAGTGTCAATGAGGTATCTAAATTTGACACTGTCTCGCACAGCATCCTCGCTACCAAATTGAGGAAGT